GATTTAAGTTAAGTTAAGACCTTAAGGTAAATTAGGGTTAACCAGAGGTGACAATATAAATCAGTTGGGCTAAGCAGAGTAACTGACTCACCCATTATAGATTTAAAATTACCTCAGACAATAGCATGGAAGGATTTGGCTACAGAAGACCTGTTTTTTATCTTCACCTTACTTTCCATGCTATTGTTTTGTATATCCATAGGAACCCTAATGAGCAGGTAGAAAAGATGACAAGATCTTTTCTATAGAGAAAATGCAATTTAAAATGTCTGTAACATAGGGATGTATAATTATTTGCTAAGGAGAACAGATTTTTCTCTTTAATTCAATGAGAGTGACAGCTCCAGAAGATGTAATGGTAATGTTCATATATGGGCTTAAAAAGTCTATCCTATTGTGTGTAGTTTTTTGCACTGGCGAGTATCATTTTTGCGAATCATTGTATAAGAACATTTCATTCATCTCATTTACTGTAAAAAAAAAAAGGAAACGTCATTATCATTCTGTGCTTTGTCAGTACATTTCAGCAGCAGGATTAGGATCTACAAAATGGATGCTGGGTGGGGGCTTATATGCTGTAACAAGCAGTGTCACTACAGAATTCAGTCAGCGTTTAAAACTGGGAATGACACTTCACCTTTTTGCAACAGCGAATATCAACTTTACTATAAGAAAAGGTTCAGTCTCAAGCCAACTGTCTGAGGAAGTAGTAGTGAGATGTATGGCTCTATAAGAGAAATTACCTCCTGTAGCTTCCCTTCTCCTGGATGAAATATTAGCTGATTTAATCAACTCCATAAATAAATAGAGCTGTGTTAAAAGGTGCCTGCCTCTTCATTTCTAACCCGACTAAAAATCCTTTTTCCCTGTCCCCTACCCAATTTTTCTTTTTCAAATCTGAAACAACACTGCTAAAGTAAATCCTCCGAAGTTTGAAATAATGTTCTTCCAGTTAAATGACTTAAGATAACATTGTAAATGCATGCTTGAACCATTTTTTTTTCTTTTCAAAATCAGGGATCATGGTCAGTGGTGGGATGATATCAGAGGTGAATTATGAGTTCTAGTAAAATAAGCTGATGAACATGTTTGGACTGAATGATGGTTATTTTGTTGAAATATTGTTCCTGCTTTTTGAAGAACATATATTTGAACAATTAGTTGTACGCCTGGTTCTTAGCAGAATGATCAAATAATATTACTAATAATTGCTGGAATAAATGAACATTGCAACCCATGAATTCAGGATAATTAAAGCTTTCAGACCTGTCAATTTTTTGCTGGGGGGGGGAGTACACTTCTATTAAATTACAATACATGTTAACTATTTCAGAAGTTAAACTAAGAACATATTTTTATTATTTAGTAGCACAGTTCATTATTCAATCTCAACAATTTAGGCACATTTAAGGATTTTCAAATAGGACCTCTACTTTATTTTTCTATATCAAACTGAAAAACTGAAAGAAAAAATTATATTATATATTCAACTTAATTCCACATTATTCCTTTGGTTTACCAGGATATGACAATAAATTTTATTCTTCTAAAGGCCAGAAAAATTTGGTATCAATTTCATCAATGTCCCTTAACTTCATGTAAGAAAATATTACAAGCTGAGAAATCACAATTACCATATTTTTTGCGCTTCCTCCTCCCAAAAGTGGGTGGAAATGTCTGTGCATTTTATAGAGTGAATATTGCAGTGGGGGGTTGGTTCCCTGCCACCAGGAATACTGGAGCCTTCACTGCCAAGCAGCTGATTGGCAGTTGGATTGGCCTCCCAGAATACCTCCGATCAGCTGTTCTAGGTGGTGAGGTTTGCTGCTGCCGCCGCTGCCTATCACTGCCACCGATCCGCCACTGCCATTCACCGCCAATCACTGCCTCTGCCGATCACCATTTGGCGGTGATTGTGGTAAACGATGACAAACAGTGGTGAACAGCAGCAATGGCAGTGGTGGAATTCGGCAGCAAATGGCAGCGATAGGCAGAGGAAGTGATTGGTGGGGAATGGTGGGGATTGGCAGAGGCAGTGATCAGTGGCAGCAATAGGCAGGAGTGACGGCTGCGATCTCCGTCACCTAGAACAACTGATCGGCAGTATTCTGGGAGGCCGATCCAACCGCCAATCAGCTGCTCAGCAGCGAAGGCTCCAGCGCTCCCTGGCAGCAGCGGCAGTGTAAGGACGCTAGCCAGATGAATACTGGATGGATGCTGGGAGGCAGAGGCAGATTATTTTTTCTGTTTTCCTCGTCTAAAGCTAATGTGCATCTTATAGTCCAGAGCGTCTTATAGTGCAAAAAATACGGTAATTCTCCTAGGCTGTCTAATCATCATGGACCTTCAGAAGCTATAGTTCAATAGCTGTAGATTAAATACACAGACAGATACATATATACACTGAAAATCATCTAAAAATGTGAACAATGCCATTTACAGCCCACGCTCAGGTCTGAATCCTCTCTGAGTGATAATTGTTCAGTATGGTAGCATCCAGTATTGGCTTCTTGAAAAGAAGGATAACCAAAGCCTCCTTAAGGGAAACCAGAACACTTTCCTTTCTCAAGACAAATTGCAAATAATGAATAATATTTGCTCTAAAGATGCAAAATGACACTGGTTCTTCCTTTAGCCTCACAGTACAAAAAGGTTGCATATTTATAGAGAAAAAAATGCAATAATCAGTTTTAATAGTGTAACAGATAATTTAATTAAATCATTGTTCAGGGACAACAGATATGAATTCAATCATATGCTGCATAAATTGCCTGAGTGATTTTCATTTGCATCACATGCTACAAGTTTATCAATTGGATTTCACCTTTTCATTTCTTCATTAGATATATATATATTAGTGCAAGCTATTCAAGTCCCGTTAACTACTGATGTAACTAACATTCCATTATCAAGGGAAATTCATAGTTATGTTTGGCTTCTTTGGCTCTATTGCTCATCTAATCCTGCAATCCATTTACTGCTGAAATCCTGATAGAACATATTATCAAAAAATATTTAATCCGCCTGTCAAAGCAAATGCAGTGAAAAACTCCTAATCCTTATACGGCAGGGGGCCAAATTAGAGTCTGTGGTACAAAACAAACTTCAGAGCCAGTGGGGGAAAAAACTTTCCGCAAAGCCAAACTTAATTAGGATAAAACTTTTGTTGGATCCCAGTGATCAGTTTCCAGACTGTTTTACTTCTTAAGCAAGACATCGGAGGAGCTGTCAGTTGGTCTACATATATAGTAACTGTATATCTAAGTCTGTTAGCAGCATCAACTGTGCGTTTTATGAGGCCTCTGCAAAACACGATTCACCTCTTTAGCACTGTTGTCTCTCTACATCTCTGCATTTAGCTGGCATTTCCTGCTGAGCGTTAGCAATACATTTTGTCAGCCTCTCTGAGATGGACAGACAACTCTTACCAAGGTATGAGTTTACATCTAAGTGTATCTGAGGAATTCTGACAGAAAACAGGGCAGCCCTCAAACAAGAGACACCTATCTAATTGTTGTCTATATAGAGTTTTGGGATTATCAGTAGATTATACATGGAGGGCAGAATATCTGTGGCACCCCTATATAGAATATACTGATGTCTTAGATTCTCTCTCTCTCTCTCTCTCTCTCTGTGTGTGTGTATGTGTGTGTGTGTGTGTGTGTGTGTGTGTGTGTGTGTGTAAGTAAGTAAGAGAGAGCAGGGAGGGAAGGAGGGAGGGAGGGGGGAGAGAATATGAGAGAAAAGGAGATGCAGGATCTATCTATACAGTAAGAAAACTAAATTTTGAAAGATTTCTATATTGTCATATGAAATTTAGCTACTTGTATTTGTTCACTTAACACAATATTTAATTCCTTGAAAAGTATTCTGCAAAGCACATCATAACACACAAGTTTGTATGGTATGTGTATATGCACACAGAGGTAGACCCACACAACACAGAAAGAGATGATAATAAACAGAAAATTGTGTCATCTCAATTTGTTGATTTTTCAACATGTAAACAAATTTACTGAAGAAATCTTTATGACAGAAATAAAGCCACAGTTTCCTAGCTGTTTGAATTATCCATAACTGAAAGGAATAACCGATGAAAAGACTGCATATAATCTGGAATATAAAACCCATATCGGTCATTAAAAACAAGCAGGGAAATCACAAATATTTCAGTTTTGAATAGGGACATTTTTATTGCACATGAGATGAAAACCAGTATCTTTTGAGGCTGCCCTTTTTCCCATTAAAGGCTAGTTCAGAGAAATGCAGTTCCTCCCACGCTTAAGTCCTTAAGTAGCCTGTATTAGGAACTGTAGATATGTTTGTTGGAAATGCAGATTGATAGGTTTTTGACTCTGAGTGAAAAGTTTAAGAATAGGGTACTTTCTATAGCTAAGCGGGTCATTCAGTCGACACTAGTGGGAGGCAATAATCCTCAAATGAGCTTGGCTGTGAGTGCGGTGTTATAGCCGATCATTAAAACATGGTAGTACAAGATTCCAGTTCTGCCTGATTACATTCTCAGCAGAGTTGTCAGGCTGCTGCAAGCTTCAGTAACCAAACATATTATTATCCTTTCATTCATTTTTTTTTTTTTTTTGCTTTTTTCCTCAGCCTAGCCTAAATCATGTACATTCCTGAACCAAATGCAATACCTAAGTTTGAAGAAAGGGAGTATTGTCTTGATCACATGTGAAATATAGTGTGATTAATGTTGTTTTTATTTCCTGAAATGTTATAAATAAGTAACTTTGTGAAGCTCTACTATTCAACCAGCTTCAGGTATAAGAAAAACAAGTTTCTTCGGATTGCCAATGCAAGCTGTATTTTCCCATGAAAAAATTCTCCTGAATTTTGAGGAAGCAAATATACAACCATTATTTGCAATATGACTACAGATTTATAATGCTGTAAGAATAATAGCACAATAGTCATATCACTGTTACCAAAATACTATATATAGAAAATTAGATTATAAACCTATTACTTTTAAAAACTGGTTCAGTAAAATCTTTTTATTCAGTTTCTTGTTTGCGTTACACTGTAAACTCTTTTGAATATTCAATGAACATAGCAACTGCTTATAAATAAAGAATATAATATAATAGTAACAAAAATGTAATAGTAATAGAAAGAATTCAATCTATCAAAAACATTAAATTAGCAATAGAATCTGTTGTTATACGGCTTGAATTGATTGTTTTGGTAGCCATAGAAGATAAAGAATTGCACGGCAGCAGCTGGAAAATGTTAGAGATTTTTATCCAACATAGAAACCAAGTGGATTAGCAGAGAAAGGAAAAACCCTTTTCCACATCTGGCATCAGAAGACCAAAATACTTGTTGCTACTCCTGGATCAGGGCTTGAACAATATTTGCAGGGTGCTTATTTACAGGGCTGTTAAAATTGTAATGTCTTCCCCATTTGTTCCAACATAAACTCAAACATGGTTGCCCTTTAATTATCAAATATACCACCTTTACTTAATTATATTTTGCTATGCCGCCTTATCTCTAGAAAAATTGATGTCCTAATCATGCACTCTATAACATATTTGAATATATTAAGCATTCTCTCTGAACTGAATGAAGCTGCATACATTTTTTTCAGTTGTTCTGAGCATTTAATTATCTTCTAATACCATCTTCAAGGCTTCTGACAAATACGATTACAATCTCTAAATGCCTGAGATGTTTAGGAGCACAACTTTACTAGAAATGCAACTGTTGTATTTAAATATTTCCCTTGACAAGTCTCAGGTCTATCCCAAACAATGCACTCACAGTCAAAATCTATATGCCTCCTACACACTCTGCACCCTGACAAGCCTTTTACTTGAGTTTAAATCGAGCTGCCCTTGCAGATTTATTGTTCTAAATGTCCCTGTCGCCAGTCAAAATAATGCTATCACTTCTGAAAATATTTTCATTTTCTGACATGTACAGAGGTGCCATAAAATGGTGCTGACAACTCCATCTCTCACCTTCTACAAATCTTATCAAGATACATCATCAAAAAAAACCCCGCACACAGTCTATGCCGGCCTCTGACAAACCTGAAGCATAGCCTGCCAGCCTAGGAGATAAGGTCTGAAATGTTGGTTCGTGAAAAGGTGATAACAGTAACAAGGATTGAATGCATGTAGAACGTCACCTTTAGACAGCAGTAGGTTTCACTAGAGTCACAATGTAAGAGCAACTGTTTTGCTTTAAGTGATATGTGTCTTGACAACATTCAGACTTGTGTCTGGGAACATTTAAGTCGCCTTCTGTGTACTTTGTCTGGGACTTGGGAAGAAGACTGGCAATCATATGCAATAGAAAAGGTTTCCTAAATATGCTAGATAATCCTCAAAAGTTATTTTAAATACGTTTAGATATTTGTTAAAGAATCATTTGTACTTTAAGAAAATATAATGGATTGATACATTTGTTAAGCTGAATGGCAAAAATATCTGGGACAAAATGATACAGACAATTTTGTCAAGATTTTTTTCTTAAAATACAATAGATTGTTTTAGCATCAAAATAAAGCTGCACCTTGCTTTGTTGCTTTACTGTTGTTGTTCTTAAAAAAACTGCCCAGTAGCATTTATTGATATATGGTGTTGTATCAAATCCATGTTTTATCATTTCACTTTAAAAATATTTTTTTAAAAAATCCAATTCGGTTTTTTTCCATTTACTTAATTTCATTCACTTAAGACCAAATTTTCAAAGCCTCTTGGTTTTTCAAACTCCTTTTCTCACACCATCATTTTCAAACAATTTTATAACAATCAGTGGAGATTACATCCTCATACAGTTGTACCATTTCTTGGTATAATGATTTATTTTCAAAGGTTTCACCATGATAGCTCTCCAACTTTGTTCCTTCCTGTGTATCACTGTTCAGGGTCAAAAGCTGGTAAAAGGGCTGGTCCCTGAGGTCTAACATATTTCACCAATGGAGTCTCTGGCTTTTCACTTCTCCTTTTCTCCTCATCACTTTATGTTTAAAGAATAACAGATGTGGAAACATTTAAGGGAGAGGGGGAGGTCTAATTGAATTTCACATAACACAATTTAGCATTGTTTGAGGAAGTACCTAAATCAACAGCACATTTTCTAAAAGGGCTAGTCGCTGCCTAATTAGAACACCAAACGTGTGACTAATTGGCCACACTTCCACCGAAGAGAAACTCTGCTGCAGATGAACTGTTTGCTCATATGTCCAGTAGTTTGGCTGCAAGGTATCTGTGGCTTTTGGAAGAGTTGTGCCAGACATAACCTGGAGAAGAGAAACATTCGGCATTTGAATTGGGAGAAGGATCACACGCTAGTGGAAGATTATCAGCAGATAAATTATTTGATTCTTGAGGCTCTTTATTTGGCATACACAAATAGTTTGTTAGGGCAACCTCCGTTGTTTCACCTCTTCCCTCTCCCTTTTTAGCATCTAATTAATTTTTCCAGCATCTAATTAAAAAAATAACTTAATATTAGAAAAAAATAACTTAATATTAGCCCATTATTTCCCACAGGCAGATCTGCTTTTTGCATTGAACGGAATGTTTCCTTTCTGCACATATCCACACCCATTCTTCCCACAAAATAAGAACAAACATTATGGCAAATAAACTGGAAGAAAAGGAAAATTGTATGCCACACTCTTTTAGATTTGTCTGAAATGAGGAAAAAGTCTTGAAAAATGTATACAATTCTCTTTCAGAAGGCCATTTGTTTTGAGATGTTATCTATTAAAACAAAATATTCTCACAATGGGATTGGACAAGGTAGAAAAGTTGGGAGGTAACTTCAGATGGTTTCATGAATATCTGCTTATAAGCTCAATTTGTATGGGAATGGCCACAGGCTAAAGTTCAAAAATATTGGCCCAAGTCCCAAGAATGTTGGTATCATTCAGCTGATGCAATCTTCTGTACATGTCTGTTGACCACCTTGGAGTTTATTAATAGCTGTTATTTAGGCAAAAGACTTAACAACTCAGTTGTTAAGACACAAGTTTTATGATGTCTCATAACTGTTTTCTGTGAATTGAAAGCAATCTCAAAGTAACAACAAAGCAAAATGGGACTTTAGATGCACTGCATTGTATTCCTGATTTAATTGTGAGTGAACTTCCTAATGGAAACTATGAATACTCAGGGAAAGATCTAAGACAACTTTGATTAGCAAGCAATATTTTGAATAGTTCAAAATACGTCTTCTAACCTTACAAGGAGGATACATCACTCGCCATCTGACACTCTCATTTCATTGGTACCAAAAAAGCACCAATAAAGCACCAAATTAATGAGCTAAGTAAATGGCCACATCAGAAACTGGTAGCACATAGCATGGTTAGACGGCTTAGACCAGTGATGGCTAACCTTTTTGCTGTCGCGTGCCAAAAGTGGGGGGAGGGGGGGTTCATGCGTGTGCGTGCCCACACCCATAATTCAATGCCCACTCATGCCCCGCCCTCCCGCGCACGTGTGCCTGCTCCCCCTGCGCTCCCCCCGCTTTTGGCACATGATGGCATAGTGGGCCCATTTTTCAGTCTCCCCAGGCTCCAGAGGCTTTCTAGGAGCCTGGGGAGGGCAAAAACAGCCTTCCTCAAACCCCCTGGAGGCTCTCCGGAGGCCGGAAGCAGCCCATTTCCCGACTTCCGGTGGGCCCAGAAGGCCCAAAAATCAGCTGGCCGGCAGGCACATGTGTGCTGGAGCTGAGCTAGGGCAATGCTCGTGTGCCCTCAGATATGGCTCCGCATGCCACCTGTGGCACCCGTGCCATAGGTTCGCCATCACAGGCCTAGACGTTGATATTTGAATATACCTTTCAACATTTATATTTTATTGGTTTCTACTAATCTACCTGAAATGTTAATATATATTGCTAGTCCATGTAAAATATGCCACAGGCTAAATAATCATCTCAGGAATCCAGATAAATCTTATTGAACCTCCTCCTTTAGGATCTAAAACCATACATTATGTGTGCAGTAGCTAAATTTTGTATTGCTGCAATGAAAGCAATTGGTTAAAGATGCAACAACATTGATTAAAAATCTAATTACTCTTGCTTTAAATATTACTTCTTAATTATTAATTTGTTAAAATAGTTACTTCTTAACTATTAATTTGTTAGGGGATACATAGCTTTTATTTTATACCTAATATTTTAGATTTACATTACCTACAAATGCAATAATATAGTAATAGAGGAGCAGATGCTACATTACTATGATATTTATACTGTTATTTTTGTGACTGTTTTGTTAACCACTTGTGTATCATTGTATCTGTCTGCTACACTCTGTCTTTGTTTAAAATTTAAGTTTAAACTTAAACTTCTGTTTTAAATTTTGCTGATCATTGACCAAATAAATATTACTGAATTACTTAGCTATAGTGTGCTCCCCCTTAAGTCAAGAGTATCCAATAATAGTAGCAAGGTACCAGTATGTAAAATCTATTAAAATTTGTCACCTCTTATAGATAGGAGCACAGTGGTTTGAGTGGTTACAATACCTGATTGGAGGCTAGCAAACCCATGTTCAAGACCCGAGAGCTGCCATGGGGTAGGGTGAGCTCCCATCCTTCACTCCAGCTCCTGCCACAGACATGAAAGGAGCCCCCAACTGGATGTTTCCAGGGCAACAGTGATGTCACTGACTAATCCTTCCAACCTGGAAGTGCCTCTGTGCTTCTGATACGAGTGCAAAAAACCCCTATTACAGAAAAGGTGAGGTCAGGTGACCTGCAGCAGATGGGATCAGGGAGATGCTGGTTCCGGCTGATTTAAGCACATCTCTTCCCCTCTAGTTTCCAGTCAGTATAATCTGCCACCATTCTTCTGTTGTCTTCCTAAAACATTAGACACAGTGATATGTAATCTGCTGGTTGAAAACAATGCAACATGAAATAACACAACAGGCCAAAAATGTAAGATACTGAAATGATTTGACAGAATTGATTTGGAGGAGTCAGGTATGTGCTTCAGTTGAAAGGCTTAACTTTTAAGTTGCCCAAGTGATTATTAGGCCTATCTCTCTTCTGGAAAGTTGCTATTCCTGTGTTCAAATAAAAACATCTCAGCTGCCCGGCTAGTGGAATATAGGAGGATGTGTGACAGGGGTGGGTTCTACTTACCTCCGCTACCAGTTTGCAATGGGAGCGCGTGAGCTTCTGCACATGCGCAGATTGTTCATGATGACGTCCGGGTGGGTGGGCGGAGCCTTCTGCCGCCGTTACTACCAGTTCGCAAGAGCCGGACCAAACCAGGAGCAACCCACCACTGATGTGTGATTATGAAGGAGCTAGCCCACAAATATATCAACTGGCTCCTGGTGGTCTTCCGGGTGCGCTTCAAGGTTTTGGTTACCACCTTTAGAGCACTCCATGGCATCGGACCGGGGTATCTACGAGACCGCCTTCTGCTACGAATAGCCTCTCACCGACCAGTACGCTCCCATAGAGAGGGGCTCCTCAGGGTGCCGTCGGCCAAACAGTGTCGACTGGCGGCCCCCAGGGAGAGAGCCTTCTCTGTGGGGGCACCTACCATCTGGAACGAGCTCCCCCCAGAGATACGGAAGATCCCGGACCTGCGCACGTTTTGCCGTGCTTTCAAAACTTTTCTATTTCAGCAAGCTGGCATGGCCTAACTCCCATCTTTTAAATTTTTAAATCTTTTAATTCGTGATTTTATAAATTGGGTGTTTTAATCTGTGTTTCGGCCGAAATATTTAATAATTTTAAGGGATTTTTTAATATTTGTATTATCTGTATTTTATCTTGGCTGTTCACCGCCCTGAGTCCTTCGGGAGTAGGGCGGTATAGAAATTTGATTAATAAATAAATAAATAAATAAACTGAGTTCACTCCTTGATCATCTTGTGCCCTTCTATGCTATATAAACTTCAAGGCAAATTGGACAGGATAGGAACCAGCAGCAAATTTCTTGTCAATAACATTTTTGTCCTAATCCAAGAAGAAATGGACAGCATTCTAATCCAGTACAGCAGAAAGCCACTATTCTGTCTTACATATGTACACATACAGACAAATATAGGGACATTTTATGCAAATCAATATCCATTTTTTTCCTCTTTTCTGCCATAGCCACCTAATAAATATTATACTTGAATTGGTAATGCACTGTATGCATATTATGCTAAAGTTCTTAGGCACCCTATGGAAATTTTGGTTTCCAAGACGCTGTTTTGAAGCATATAGTGTATATTTAACTCTGGAGTATTAAATGAGCTAATTATTTCCTTAGAAACATGTCCTAATGGGATAATTATGATTTATCTCCAACAGCTAGGTGAAGGGTTGTTGCTTGAGGCCTTTTATAGCATTAATTGTTATACTTAATGTATATTTTAAGAGGATCTACTTTTGTTCAAGTGGTGAAGGATTTATCAATTGTGGCAATTCTTAGTTTATCAAGTCTTGCTCTCTCTTTTTAAAAAATTGCTAGTTTTTTCTCGGCAGCCAATTGGAATTTAGGTGATCTTTTTAATTTTCTTAATCCCACTTTGATTTTTTTTTTTTAAAAAAAGAAATCAATATAGAGAATTTAAAAATAAACAAGAAATATATGGTTTGGTGTTTAAAACCAACAATTTCTGTAGCAAATGAGTTGAATGATCTTACCAGGAATGCCTTTAGCATTCCTGGTAAGGCATTTAAATTATCTCTTATAGTATCACATGGTCTGCTTTGTCTGCATCAAAAAATCAGAAGTTCAGGGTTCCTATTATTTTTTGAATATGTTCTCACAGATTTCTTCATTCAATATACACACACATCACAGACACGTTTGAATTATATGAAGAGATAAAAAAATGGGGCTCATATTCTTAACAACATTCTGTGTGTTGGAGGGAAAACAAGCCTGCATTTTACATCTGTCCTCCCCTAAACTTCAGTTGTGTCCATGATTTGTTTCTGTGACTTTTTAAAGAATCATTTTCTTATTTCCTGACAATCTAGATGGCCAGGCAATAAAATCTTCCAAAATTGCATATATTTACATTTTATTTAATCAATGTGTCATTGATGGCCAGTTTTAAAATATGGATGCTCTTTTTGTGTACATCTCTATCAGGTTTTCTATGTGGCAGGCATTCACAAATAAATGTGAATTATCCCTTAAGTAGATAAATTAGTTTAAAATAATAGCAAACAAGCCAGCCCAAAGGAGAGTTCAGTAAATCCACTGCCAGCATCAAGGAGTTTTCACTTTTGAGAAGCAGTAGAAGAGCAGACACATCTGCAACGAAACCCAACCATGTACCCTTCTTGAGGAAAGATAAACTATAGTGCAGACATGCCCTAAATCCTCAAGACCAATCCAGACAGCCAAACACAACTGCCTCCTGTCTGAGCCCCATTAAAATAAATATGATTCACTCATGAGTAACATGGGAGGGGAAATGTTGATTCAGTGCAGACTCTTGCGATACAAGGAACATGGCCTGGTGAACTTTCCTCCCTGCTATTTGCTGATGGCTGAAAATGGCAAACATGGTTGGATTTATGGCAATTTCAATTTTTGATTGTATGTAAAAGCAACATTGTATGCTGCTTGGTCACTTTCGGTTCTAATTTTTGCATTACTGCATATTAGCTCTCTGACCTTGTATTGGTTGTATTACTTAAGGCCTGGGTAGAAATGGTATTCAAAGGATAAGAGCTGGCTCTTAATAAGAGAGCAGAGGCCTACAGTCTGGACATAAGCCTAGCATTCTGACAGAGAGACAGCCAGTAGCAATGTCACCAGATTCTGTAATATATCAAAGAAGACCCTAGTCATATAGGAAAATGGCCTGTATGTATTTTTTAAAGTTCCATAATATTGAAAATATCTGTCAATAAATTAGGACTGAGATCCAAAACTGGGCATTCAGAGCAGAACTGACTCTATGCTAGTACATTGTTTATCATTTCCTGCCATCAAAGGAGGAGACAATAGCAAAAGAGTTGATAGAGCCCCATTTACTGAGAAATGAGGAGTTGAATTCCAGAGGTACCACTTCTCCATGGTGACTTTGGATCTTTGGAATGGCTTCTTTCTGGAAGGTCATCAAGGATGCGCTAATCTGAACTTCAGAACTTGAATTCACCATGGATGCTTTATTGTTTTCCATTAATTTTTATTCAATTATGATATACATTTTGCTATTGCATTATTTTATCAATTTTTGGATGTTATACATCACCTAGTATAACTAAGTCCAGTTGACTGAGGTGGTAAATAAATCCACTCATTCATTCACTCAATTAGTTAAATGATTGCATTTTAAACTGGCATGACATCAAAGGTCATGCAATGTGGAGGTATTACAAATTTAAGAAACAAATATCTGAATAGCAGAATACATTATGGGTTCAATACTGGTTTAAAAAAACCCAAAATAATTTCTTTCTGACAAGCAGTTATAAAGACAAATGGCATTTTTGGTGGCTAGGAGCTACCTTTTGTTGTGGTGGTTGTTGTTTGCACTGTGGGGCAAGTCCAAGAGCTGTAGTATTTGGTGTGATAACACAAGGATATCATGCAAAGAAACAGGAATTGGATTTCCTGCCAAATGTGAGCAGTGCAATTTGCAGGGGACCTGGGAGGGTTACAATAAAGGGGATTTATAAGCCTCCTGTGGCCTGCAAGCCATCAGTTACCTACTCCAAATATTACTCAGTTTATTAGCCTTGAGGGGAAGGGAAGGCCAAAAAGATGCTGTCGCTATGGAACTCACTACTCATTCCTAAAATAATCAGCAATGGCCCAAGGCGCTTTTTTTCTGATTTTTATTTTCTAAGCTTTTGATTTTAAGTGATAAACAAATGCCTAAGCAGAAAGACAGTATATATAAATACAGTGTATGAAATATAGTCTCTTGAGACTGTAGGCTATAAGCAATCAGTCAATTATTATTATAAATCAAACTAATGAATCAAATACTATTGATTGACTAAAATATATTTTCAATTGGACTTTTTTTTTAAAAATTACCTTTTTGATACAGGAATTATGAGTGATCCTTAGAAGGATATTGGTTAATCTTTCACAGAGATCAAGTATTGCCTCTCCTGAAGCTCCCCATGGTAACATTATAATGCATTACTTAAAAATGTTTTTTCATGTTATAACGTTGTACCCATGTGTAAATCTAGTACATTGGTTAACTGACTGATCAACTAGATTGACTACTTGATAATTGAATGAAAGTCCAACAAATTGGCACAAATTTCTTCTCCTTCTTCATGTAATATGAAAGCAGAACTTTTGTATAATAAAATATTTTGAATTTTTGCTATAAGAATTTAATGCTTTGATAATATTTCATGAAAAAAATACTTATGATACATTGCTATCATATTGTAGTGGCCATATGCCCAAATTAATACTATATCCATAGATAGGTATCCATTCCTAATCATGATAATCAAAATGACAAAACATGCATGACACGCTTCCATTCAACCCATTATGACACGCTTCCATTCAACATCCCACACTAATATGTAAGAGATGGAATAAGTATCATGAAGTATCATGAAGTGATGATTCATCATTTCCCCTACCTATCTGGGGGAGCCTATACATACAAGAAATATTTTTATTGACTGACTATAACCAATAGAGTTCTCAGTTCTTGAAATAATTATTCTTAAATAAATATTGTGGGGAAAGGCATGAAGCTACTGTAGATCTGATCCAGTTGGTGGGATTTAGAAGTGGGGTCCAAGACAAAGTATACTTTTTTATCAGAAAAGAAACCTCTTTTTTTTTCAGCTATAGCAACTTCTACTGATAATCAGCAGACTATTTTGAAAATTAACATTCTATCAGATTTGTTTGG